TTTTAACGAGGTGAAAATTTTCGCTTCCGCGAACCCGCGATGTGACATATATAAAACCATTTCTAATTATTTCGTGTGGAAGAAGGATATCAAATGGATGGTAGTAATATATTTTATTATTTTTTTAATATTTACATATATGCACTGTCATTACATTATTTATTTATCGATTTTGATATTTAATTTAGTTAAATTTGAATATCAAAATTCCGTGAAGTGTATACGCGTGATTTCAGTCTGTGGATTTCCGAATGTCCAAGGCCAAAATCTCCTTTCTTCAACACTGACGGTTTAAAACTCGCACCGGCCCGCGGTTTTCGATGGCTTACAGTCGCCGTGGCTTACTTAGGTCAGTATCTTTTGTACTTTACGCCAGTAATATCCATTTAAATAAAAAAGAATTAACGGTTTAAAACTCGAACCGGCCATACTTTTCGAATGCTTTACAACGGCCGGGCTTAGTATTTAACTAAAACACTTTTAACGGTTTAAAATTCGAAATATTAGTTACCGTAATAGTTCTAAATTTTTAAATAAAGACTAAAAAAGTATATACGTTTTTGCGCATAAACATCCTTGCCTTGAAATAACTGACGGGCCGAGATTTGAATCTGTTTGAAACAAAATTATCTGGTGTTGCAATCTTTCGCTTAGCGTCGGATAGAATTCTATCTCTCGCCCCAAAATCCCATTCAAATGAAGCCATTAGTCCCTCATGCAAATTCAAATATGTGCGCTAATGTCGCAATTACGAGATAAGGACTTTGCCCAACTGTCAAAATGTAACACTGTGTACGCAAATAGACGGTAATAGTTTTACGCGTTGCTAAGAAAGTCCTAAAAATATTTAATTCTGTCGGGCTGGACACAAAACATTGATCAATCAATGAATCACATTCTCAAACAGACAAGTTAATCAGAAACGGAAGGCCACAGAAGGTCTTGGATTTGAATATTGGAGAAACATAAATTCGGTCCGCTAGGGCATAGAGGTCTTATCCTGTCTGTTTACAAATCACTGACCTTTCGTCCTGGATTTTGGAGAAATAATGAATTCGGTTGTACAGGGGACAGATTTAAAAAGCACGAAACGGAATGGCACAGAAGGTCCCGAGTTTGGATTCTGGAGAAGCAATAAATTCTGACAAGCAAAGAAATCAGAACTCTGATCATCTGATCAGACATCTGACTTGTCTGTAAATCAGTGAAAAGGACGGAGGAAGGATTGAGGGTAAGCCTCAATGAACGACAGGTTTATATCGTCTTCAAATTCTTTACAATTCGCAAAAACTCGATTGTATTATATTGCAGTACAATTTCATATTATCTAATCTTAGGAAATAACTTTTTACTAATCGAAATGCATTTTACTAATATCTTTCTCGTTTTAAACCGTTAAAAGTGTTTTATTTTAATGTATAAAAATACACACATATTGTGCATTTTATGGATTAGATATGGATTTGAATATCCAAAGCCGAAATAGGTCGACAGCGTTATTTAGGGGTATTTCATAAAATCAATGTGTTCTCGCGTAAACTACGGAGAGGGTATTCAATCTATAAGACTGTAGCGCTTGATTAGAAGGATAACTTGGGACCAACCCACCCACATCTTTACAAAGTTCTTCAATACTTCATGCAAATTAGCAACTACCCTTCTCAACTACCCTCCTATGTAACAATGTTTGGTAAGTTATATTGAGATGTAAATCCTTTTAGGATTCAATAAGTACCCTGCGAGAGATCTTATGTATTATGTATTACCAAGTGACATCTATATTAATATATAAAGCTGAAGAGTTTGTGTGTTTGTTTGTTTAATCTCAGCTACTGGTTCGAATTGGAAATCTTTTTGTCTCATTATAACATGGTGCGACCAATAGGAGCTAAGAATTAATGGAAAATGTGGAAATAATGGGGAAAACTATACATCTTTGAGGACTTCTATTGCGTTCGCTGCGCAGACAGTTAAGGACACAAAAAAATGTTTGAAATAATGACTTCTCTGTTCTATTTTTGAAGATATTGCAAGAACAGTTTGTGGGTAATAGAACTTGGGAGAAATAAATGGATTATTACCAACTATTTGTTAGAGTTGTATTGACATAATTAATTTAGCAAACAACAAAACAACGTTTTCCGAAACAGCCAGTACAATAAAAGAGAAAAAGACTGGTTGGTCTAATGGTAGCAATGTAGAGCTAATAATCAACGGGTCGTGGCTTCGATTTATAGCGGGTCCAACGTAGTGCTATAGTTTACGTGAGTAGTACACATTTAAATAAAACGCTTTAAGGCTTTAAAACGCGATATATTAGTTAAACTTATTGAAAATTATTTTTACGCTGTCTCCCCGTGACCACGGCTGCTGCAAAGCATCCGATACGTCGGGCCGAAGTTAAAAATCATTTTCAATAAGTTTAACTAATATATCGCGTTTTAAACCGTTAAAGTGTTTTATTTATAAGGTTTTATAAATTACAAAAATGCAATTTGAATACGATAGACAAGAACGTTCACTTGGTGGAAGGCGAAAACGCCTCACCATCATGACATGACATGACATCTAAACATGCGTTGACCTATTTTGGCTTTGTAAGAATATCGTTCATAGTTTAAAAAATTAAGTTTCAGCATCAGACTGGTTTTTTGCATATCCAAAGCTAACATAGGTCGGCAACACATTTTGTTTAGTTGTTGTATCGCTGTGGTATATCTTGTAATCTTGTAAAAAAAATGTTTTCTATAATTTTTTTCTCTATAACCTTTGCTCTGTGCATTTTGCGAGGGGCATTTTTTGTGTATCTACATGGCCAAGTGTGATTTATTGTCTTGAACACGGTCGTGTAACCAAAATCTCCGTTATTTATTGCGCGGTATATTTTTATTCCGTTAATGCGATAACTCGTGTTTTTGGCTCTCGTTTTTAAAGACTGGTAGGTCAAATGGTAGCAAGGAATGATCAACGGGCCGTGGGTTCGAATCCGACATGTGTCTAACCAATTGATAATATTTAAATAAAACACTTTAACGGTTTAAAACGCGCTTTGCAGCAGCCGAAACGTCGGGCCGAAGTGAAAAATAATTTTCGAATAAGTTTAACTAATATATCGCGTTTTAAACCGTTAAAGTGTTTTATTTAAATGTGTACTACTCGCGTAAACTATAGACAGTATTCAATTGATAATATTTCGGATACATTCTGAACTTCGGCTGGAAATCTGGATATTAAATAGGTGGTAGGAATATAGAAATTATGTCCGGGTGAGGACCGTCCGCAGATGAACAGCCGAAAGCTGGATTTCCGAATATCCAATGCAAAAAAGTCGACAGTGTACCTTGCTTAGATGCTATAGGCTTGGGTATATCACCCACCATTAAGTGAACCACGCAATGTCTGACATCCTCCATCATTAAAATTGATTGAATATGAATTTGAAGATTAAATAAGATGTGCTCTCGACCTATTTTTGCTTTGGAAATTCGGAAGTAACTGAAATCGAAACGTGATTAAAATCGCCGGCTTTTTCATCTGTGTATTTAGTATAGTAAACATTTAATTAAAACAAACGATTTAAAACGCGATATATATTAGTTAAACTTATTTAAAAATTAATTTAACTACGGCCCGACGTTTCGGATGCTTTGCAGCAGTCGTGATCACGGGCAGACCTGATTTAAATGTGTTTAACTAATATATATCGCGTTTTAAACCGTTAAAGTGTTTATTTAAACAAAGTTTATCGTGTTCTAGAAAAGTATGAATATTAGTTGTGACATATGTTGGACCTGGTGTGATTTGAACCGGCGATACATTGTTATTCCAATTGCTACCGTTAGACCAATGAGTCCGTATTGAAAGGCCAGAATAGGCCGACCGCGCATCTTGATTAATGTGATACGGCTAGGGCATATCGCCTTATATTAAATAAATCTCATTTTCTGTCCACATTTGTCAAAAAATATTGAAGTAACCGAGTTTTTCTTTTAATTCAATGTCCTTAAATATTTAATTTTTTACCGCCTTATATTAATCACTAGCTGTGTCAGCGACTTCGTCCGCGTAGAACAGTTATATTAGGCATCCGAATTTGTTTTTGCAAACGGAGGAGGTTTCTTTATAAATTAAACTGTTACGACATCGGTCGCATCACGTCGTTCGTGCGAGTTAATCTTAAAAATAAACACATAGCGTCGCAGACTTTTTTTAGATCATTTAAAGAGGAATCATTCTTTCATACATATTTCCAGGGTATCTTGAACCGTTTTTGCAGCGTACGAATTGGAAACCCACAAACATGAATGATTTCCCCAAAATTTTCCACTTCTATTAGTCATAGTGTGATTTTATTGTTATAGCCTACGGCCTTCCTCGATAAATGCTGTAACCAACACAAAAACAAAATTTCAATTCGAACCAGTAGTTCCTGAGCTTAGCGCGTTTAAACATACAAACAAACTCTTCAGCTTTATATATTAGTGTAGATAAATTATGTCGAAATGATAAAACAATTTTCATACATGATTTATTTATCGGTTACAAGCAATGTGTGATTTTGACGAAATAAGGAAGATAGTAGATAATAATGTTATGAAATATTAGAAACTAAGTTGCAAAGTCTAAATATCGAACTAATATAAACGGATTAAAACTGTTATCTTACATCATTAATTTAACCAGAGACGCTCGAGTACCCTCTAACAGCCGCGTTCAAGAGTCAAAAATTTCGGTTATAAAACCGTTTAAAGTTGTTTTATATCAATACAAATAATAAAATAAATAACTTCTTAATGTCGTCTTCAAATCTACGCTATTAGTATATAATGAATAAAACACGTTTAGCGGTTTAAAACGATTGTTTAATATTTATCACGCACTTACCCGGCCGAAGCGATTATCATTGTTAATTTTTTATTAATAAATACAATGAGTGTTTTATGCAGTTAAAATAGTTCTATTTAAAATGCCTTTATTAATAAATCTGAGTAGGTAGGTACTTATTTAGCTAAATCCTCTGGTACGGGAGTGTACTTCAAACCTGTGTCGAAGAGGATTGTTACTACCCACGCGTCTTTAGGTAATTTTCCTGATTTGAGCAACTTAACGGCCGCGCACACATTCGCCCCACTCGTATAGCCCACGTATAGCCCTTCCTTCCTCCCAATTAAGTCTCTGTACTCTTCAGCTTCTTCATCAGTTACTGAGATCGTTTCATCCATCAGGTTGAAATCAAATAGATCAGGAATGACTCCGTAACTCGAGCCTTGGAGTAAATGTTGAGGTTTTGCTATAGGGCAGCCCTTCAACGGTTCCGAACCCTCAGGTTCCACTGACACACAATACACTGATGTCTGCTCTTTTAAAAACTTCGACACCCCCACAAACGTTCCAGCTGTACCCACAGCAGCGACAAATCCGTCAACTTTGTGTCCAGACTGTCTCCAGATCTCCGGACCGGTGGTTTTATAATGAGCTTCAATGTTATCCGGGTTGCAGAACTGTTTGACGAAGAACGCCCCAGTCTCCTTCTCCAGGGCCTCCCCCTTTTCCAATGCTTGCATCACGTCTGCGTTGGTTACGTTTCCGTATGTGCCTTCAACTTGCGGAACTCGAATGCACTTAGCTCCGAGGGCTTCCATGTGAATGGCTCGCTGTAGGCTGTTCCCTTTAGACATGGTCAAGGTTAGGGGGTGGCCAAGTACTGAGCAGACGACAGCAAGACCGCACCCCTGATTACCTGAAGTTACTTCCAGGACGGGTTCTCCTGGGTTCAGCTCGCCCCTTTCCCGCGCCTTCTGTATCATGTGCAATGATGAACGGCATTTTATCGAACCACCAGGGTTCATGAACTCGCATTTTGCAAGAATACGCCCTGGACCTGGATACAATCTGTCCAAAGCGACCAGTGGAGTATCGCCGATCAGTTCCAACGCTGATGATTTGATTTCGTTTGGGATTTCGTTCGTTCGTGACATATTGTGCGAATTGATATTGCAAAAGGACGTCTTTCCAACCGATTGTGTCGCAGACTACGAATAGTGTAGATAAGATAAAAATAGTATGTACTTATGTTATATCATATCTAATGTGCCTAGTAGAGAGTTTCAGTTCATAAAAATATTTCAATAACTAAAATTATTGAATAAATAAATTTGACGGTTTAAAACGCGATATATTTCAGTTAAACGTTTCGGATGCTTTGCAGCAGCCGTTTTATTTAAATCTGTACTACTCGCGTAAACTACAGACAGTATATCATAAAAATATATAAAAAATGGACGGGTTGGTCTATGGTAGCAATGTACGACTAATTAGAAACGCGTCGTGGATTTCTTAGAACAATTCTAGGATTGGGATTCAAAATATGAATTTTTTGACGTATGCATAATACTATTATGTGTAACTTCTGTAACATTATAGACGAGTATTTTTACAAGAAATACTCATGTAGTTAAAACACTTTCAATGGTTTAAAATGCGAAATATACTGTATATGACATATAACATGACCCTGTTATAGTCATGTAGTCCCCATAGTAAGATTGCTTCACAAACGTCGGGCCGTCGTTTAAATAAAGGAACGAGCGATGCATCGAGTTTTAATCAAGCTTATATTGTGCTTCGACGAAGTGTTTAGTTTGAACTCGGAACTTCTCGAATTTGACGCAGTGATGCCTATGAAGTATAAAAATTGACTAAAGTCTACAGTATGTAATATATTTTACGCGCGTAGAACACATTTAAATAAAACACTTTAACGGTTTAAAACAAAGTATACTAGGTGAACTTAATTTCAATGTATTTTAACAACTGCCCGACGTTTCGGATGCTTTGCAGCAAGGCGGAGGGTGTCCCTTTTTTAACTGATGATGTGAATGCCTAATGCACGCCCACGTCGGACAATAGTGACGTGGGGAGTGTGGTAAATCGTAAAGCGGACCAGAACCACTTAACACACAACCAGCACTCTACGGTGCTTCGAGGGAGCTCTGGGAACACGTTTGCAGGCGAAGTGTCCCTAATGTCAAAGTAAAAGCAGCTACGCTAGCGCCATCTGTTACACCGTATTTGGTGAAACTGGCTGGATCCTCGTAGAAGTGACTAACGCTATCCTCTCGATTTCCAGTATGCTGTTTTTTTCATGTTTTAAACCGTTTTATTTAAAAGTATAAATACTCTATAAGTCATTAATTTTATAATTATATCTATCTAATATTCAAATCGTACTTGCGTTAGCGATATTGATAAAATTGTTTATCTAAAAAATAGCAAGTCATGATAAAGGGACATAGTTTACAGTTAACAAACGATTACATCAATTGTAACATATTCTAAGACTAGCTGTGTCAGCGACTTCGTCCACGTAGAATAGTTATTGTGGGCACCCAAATACAGGGCGACGTTCTAGCCCTTAGCCTTTCTCGATAAATGTTCTAACCAATACAAAAAAAAAATCAATTTAAACCCGTAGTTTCTGAGATTAGCGCGTTCAAACAAACAAACAAACTCTTCAGCTTTATATTAGTATAGATTTGCTATAATATTTTTTTTATTAGTTATTTTAAAGTTTTTTGAAATTATTTATTTTCGTAAAGAGAGAAATAAAATCCACGTGTCAAGTTTTAAAATAAACATCATTAGAAATTAACGACATCCACCATGTTGAAATTCGATATGTTGTTCAGGGAATATGTTATATTGTGTTCGGGCGATTTCTCGGTAAAGCTAGCCAATTTTCACATCGGAATTAGTTCGTTTCATCATAAACACTAGCTGTGGCGAATTCGTCCGCGTAGAATAAATTTTGGACATCAAAATTTGTTTTTGCAAACCTTCTCCTTATCTTTATGAATTTTCATTCATTCGTACATATTTTTGGGTATCTTGAACCCTTTTTTCCCCCTTTTTCCACATACACCTAAAGCCTTCCTCGGCCAACACGGAAATATTTTTTTAACCAGTAGTTCAAGCAAACAAACAATCTCTACAGCTTTATATATTAGTATAGGTAAGGTAAAATTTTAAATGAAACGATTCCCGTGGGTTAGACCTATGAGAAGGTTATTACGAACGAAAACTCAATACAGAAATTAAACATTGAAGAGTTAAGATAATTCACATTTGAATAAAACACTTTTAACGGTTTCAAAACGCGATAAAATATAAGTTCAGTTATGTATACTTTATTTCAACGAATATATTTCGTGTTTTAAACAGTCAAAATTGTTAATTAAATGTAAACAAAATATAATTTATTGTAATTTTCGTGTGAATCAATATGTAAATTTTTCAATATTATCTGTAGCTTATATGTATAGTAAATATTTTAATAAAACACGTTTAACGGTCTAAAACACGAAGCTTATTATTTAACTTTCAACGACAACCCGACGTTTAAGATGTTTTGCAACAGATGGTCATGGGCGTCGGGCCGCAGTTACATTATAAATGTGTCACATTTTACGCAGTTAAAAGTGTTTTATTTAAATGTGTATGTACTCATCTCGTAAACAACAGACAACACTCCAGTTTCCATTTGATGAACAACTAAATATTCCGTTTGTAAAACATTCTAACACACGATTTTGAACCGTTGAATCTTACAAAATTTGGAGCTCAAAGAGAATAAATAGAACGAGGTTAATTTGAGATTTTTGTGTTAAACCCAATTTGTAGAGTCTCTTTTGTTATCTGGTTTGAATACACCTTTTTATTAACAGATTAGCTGATCCGACTAACATTCTCTTACCATGAAAATAACTTTGACCAAATTTGGTTACCATGGCAACGGTTCTTGCAAGTTTATCTTAAAAGATATATCGCGGATATATTTTACAGATGACTAGCTGTGTCAGCGACTTCGTCCGCGAAGAATTGTTATTTTGGGCATCCAAATTTATTATTGACCTCTTCTTTATCTTTATAAATTCAAGCTATTACCCACGTCTGTCGCGTCCCGTCGTTCTTGCACGTTAATCTTAACATATATACATACATATATCGCGGATATGTTTATTGATTTGAGTTTTTTTTTATACATGTTTTTTTTAGAATCTATTTTGCAGCGCGTGCTACGGAAGTCCTCGAGAGATGAATCATTTTTTGAGAGACCCTTTAAAAAAAGACAAACAAATAAAATCTTCAACTTTACAATATTAGTATATTGGGTAAGCACAGGGATCATTTAATGAAAGATATAATAGGCCAGCCTATTACAGTCCAAAAAAAGATGTGCTATCAACTTATTATGCCTTTTGAAACTCACGCGGAATTCGCGTTTCAGTTTCCCAATGAAAAAATATTATCCCATCAAGTGAATACCGTGCTTATTTCCCCCTCTGTCATAACATCACATTAAAGCAATATCTCATGTTTTATGAACAAGGCGCAAACAATAATATTCCGCGCAGAAAATCCTAATCTATACTAATATATAAAGCTGAAGAGTTTGTTTGTTTGTTTGAACGCGCTAATCTCAGAAACCACAGGTTCGAATTGAAAAATTGTTTTTGTGTTTGTTAGAGCATTTGTCGAGGAAGGCTATAGGCTATATATATACACATCGCACTACAATAGGAGCGAAGAAACGGTGGGAAATTTGGAAAAAAAACGGGAAAAATCTATAAAAATGTATCATCTACGTGGGTTACCGTTGCGTACGCTGCGGAAACGGTTCAAGTTACCTAAAAACAATGTACAAAAGAAGAATTCCTCTTTAAATATTCTACAAAATGTCCGCGACAGTATATGTCTATCTTGATATAAGTAAGATGAAAAAGACTGTCTATAGTTTACGAGAGTAGTACACATTTAAATAAAACACTTTAACGGTTCAAAACTCGATATATGGCTCTGGCTCGGTCTCCCCGTGATTACGGCTGCTGCAAAGCATCCGAAACGTCGGGCCGAAGTTAAAAATCATTTTCAAATAAGTTTAACTAATATATCCCGTTCTAAACCGTTAAAGTGTTTTATTTAAATGATAAAGACGTTAGCAAAAACAAATTTGGATGCCCAAAATAACTATTCTACGCGGACGAAGTCGCTGACACGGCTAGTGTGAAATAAATTCTCAGCCATTTTCAAGACATTTAATTTTAAGTAAGACGTAACGTCGCGAGGATTAACTGGGAAAGCCACGGACATATATCTGAAGAGGCCTTCGTTGTCATTTACAAGACTTTACAGCTTAAAAGCCTTCTAGCTAAGCTGCATAAGCTTGACGTTTATACGCATAGCACTTTTAAGCTCTAACGGTCTCGGATTCGAATTCCTGGGAAAATATTTTATTATATCCGGAGGACAGATTGTAGAAATGTTATAGACTTGATTCCTGTTTTATAGATTTAAGATATACCTAGACATACAAATATGTCTCCTACAGCACATATAGGTGAAATGATTTTAAAACAATTAATTAAGGATAGCTAACAACAACGATATTAAGTCTTTATTAAATGTATGACAGACAATCTATATTTTTTAACGTACTCATCTTATCAAAATAAGTATATAAAGGCCATAACATTTTTAAATAACTTTCATTTAGAATTAAAAAAACTACTACGAACTCGAGGCAAGAAGTAGTTTGCTGTAATTAAAAAGTCTTTCTAGTTTGAAATAGAAAGTTTTTACGTCAGATAAATTTCACTTGGAAATTTCAGGAAGTGTTTAAGTACCTACTCTCCGTAGTTGCGATCGTGGTACACATTTAAATATAACACTCCCCGTGACCACGGCTGCTGCAAAGCATCCGAAACGTTGGGCCGAAGTTAAAAATCATTTTCAAATAAGTTTAACTAATATACCGCGTTTTAAACCGTTAAAGTGTTTTATTTAAACGATATACATTAGTAAAACGAATTTTCAAATAAGTTTAACTAATACATATCGCGTTTTAAACCGTTAAAGTGTTTTATTTTATATGTACTACTCGCATAAACTACAGGGAGTATCCAATAATTACGTTTTCAGT